ATCTTCTCATATTCATTGTATGAAATAACACTAAGCATGATAGTTTTTTCTTTGTAATGAATCTTGTAAACCTTCTTCTGAGCATCTGTCATTGCACTTCTTAAAATCTTCTGACCTTTATCATCTACTGAGTGAGTGTAGCTATCAACTACCAAATCTCATAGATCCAAGTTATATGCCAGGAAGTAACTTTCGATTCTATCCTTCCAATAGTCATATTTCTCCCCATCAAACATAACAGGTTTTGAACTATAGTGATCTCTATCATTATCCCTATTATCAACATTTGAATTAGGCGTAGCCATTGATTTTTCATACATATTGGATCGGTACTGAACATTGTTAAGTGTTGATAAAAATGTAAACTTTTCATCTCCTCAGAATCGGGGCTCTTGTGCCAATAGAAGACGTGAAAAATACAAGAAAGGGGGATTTGAATTGGGTTTTAAATAAAAAAAAATTCTTATAAAAAATTCTCATTTAATTAAAATACTTTTTCCTTCACTCTTGGTAATAACAATAATTAAGAGCAGGAAGTAAAGAATAAGGTATATTTATACTAGTTCACTTGAAAACTATCAAGCTAGTCTAATCCATCCACCAAGGTGATTTCACCTCTCTCAACCGAGGACTTAATCCAATAATACAACTGATTATTACAATACTTAAGCTACCCACAAGTAACTAAGAACCTCTAAGACACACAAGTCCAAGACTTCTTAAGGATACAAACCTAACTGGTCCCTTAAGAAAAATCAAACTTCTAAGACACACTAGTTCTAAACTTCTTAAGTATAGAGACCTAACATATCCCTTAAGGAAATCAAACTTCTAAAACACACTAGTCCTAGACTTCTTAAGGATACAGACCTAACCGGCCCCTTAAGGAAAATGAAACAAGTGTTTGAATACATGTTTTATTTACAATAATATTGCTTCTTCACAAGCTGAATATGTAAACTATTTTAAGAACAATAGACTAAAAATATGAAAGCTATGAACAACGCTTGTGCATAAAAATTCAGTGAAAATTTGTCACGTTCTCTCTTAGTCTTCAAGCCTTTATATAGCCAATAAAATTATATATCTATTGAGGGGTACTCTTGAGATTTCCAGAAACATTGGCAGCTTGAGCAATCACGTGGAGGACAAGACCGTACAACGCATCCATCCTTTCATGGTAGTGGAATGAAACGTTAATTGTATCATGTACTATTTGTATCATATTAACGTTATCTTCTTTCTTTGTGCACTTCAGAGGCTTCTGTGAGCATGAGTTTAGAAGGAAGAACATAACACAAGGTCATCAGAATTTCAAGTCTTCAGAGTCTTCAGAACTGTGTCTTCAAAGTCTTCAGCACTTGGTCGTGAGAACCTTTTCTTAGAATCTTGGGTCTTCAGAACTTCAAGTCTTTAGAGTCTTTAGAACTTCTATCTTCAGAGTCTTTAGCACTTGTTCTTTATAATCCTTTTCTTATAACCTTGGGTTTTTAGAACTTCAAGTCTTTAGAGTCTTTTAGAACTTCTGTCTTCAGAGTCTTTAGCACTTGGTCTTTAGAACCCTTTTCTTAGAACCATGGGTCTTTAGAACTTCAAGTTTTCAGAGTCTTTAGAACTTCGTCTATCATAATCTTCAGCACTTGGTCTTGAGAACCATTTGTCTTCAGAAATATTAGTCTTCAGCATCTAGACTTAAGTAGAAACTTTTGTCTTCAGATCTTCTGACTTGTTTCTTTATAACACGTTGTCTTCAGAAAATGAGTCTTTAGCATCTGGACTTAAGTAGAAACTTCTGTCTTTAGATCTTCTGACTGATTTCTTTAGACTTCATATCAGAGCCTACACTTCAGACTCTTCTGGAGTGTCTTGCTACTGTTCATTAGAATTTGTGTAGCGCAGAAGCAGGATTAATTCTCTTCTAATGTCTTGGTCACGCCATCCATCAGAAGCAGAACTTATTTGTTAAATACTCAAAAATAAAAACATTAGAGTATCAAAATTATTCATACAAACATACTCATTTGTTATCATCAAAACTCAAAGATAATATTGCACAACCAAATCTTGTTCTAACAAAATATATGTGAGATCTTGTTGTTCTGGTGTTGTGATGTTATGGTAATTTTCTCAAGAGTGTATCATATGTGTAATATCATTAAAATAAGTTGTTGTTTGGTTCTTGAGATTAACTAGTGAAAATTTATGTTTTTTTCTTGAGATCATCCTATTAAAATATCTATTAGGCTTATGACCTCATCATGTTAAAAGATATGTTTGGTTTAGAGATTAGCCTATTAAAATCTATTGTTTGGTTTGGATATTAGCCTACTAAAATATCTTGTTGGTTCGTGAGTTTAGCCAATTAAAATCTCCATTTAATTATAAGAAGGTTTAGGGAATAACCTATGAAAAATTCACATCTCTAGTGGAACTCTCAATATTAAACTCTAGGAGACATGAGTAGGTCAAGTGGTTAGGATGAACCTATATAAATATCCAGTGCATGTTCTCTTCTCATTATCTCTTTATTTCCCATCACTTTTTTTTATTTATGCCTTATTTATTTCTCTCTGATTTTTCTTACTTTCTTTTAATATGATGTGTAATCTCTATTTAAATAGTAAAATTAGTTTAAAAATTTTATAAACCGGATTATTTATAATTGGACATTGTTTTTCAACCAACACTATTCACCCTCTCCCTCTAGCCTTTTGTGTTTGGAGTCAATTGATCAACAAATAATATAAATGTTTTGACACATACATACTTCAGATGGACTACATAAGGTGTGAGTGTGACTATTGTGTTTCTACTAGGAGTCATGGTGATGGTTCTTTTACTTTCTTGTTATTGAATGTTGATGATATGTTAATTGTTGTCAATCATTCACATGTCGTAAATGAATTGAAAATCATGTTGGCAAATGAGTTTGATATGGAAGACATACGTGTTGCTAAGAAGATTCTTGGTATGGAAATTCATATGAATATGAGTGCTAGAAATTATAGTTCTCTTAGAAAAGCTATGTTGAAAATGTGACATACAAGTTTGGCATGAGTGATTTAAAGATTGTGAGTACTACATTGACGAATCACTTTAAACTCTCATAGGATCAGAATGCAAAGACAAAAGTAGAAGTTGAGTACATGTCAAAGGTTCCTTATGCCAATGCTTTTGGTTGTTTAATGTATGTTATGATTTTCACTAGACAATATTTGACACAAGTTATAAGTCAGTTTGTATGTTTATGCACAAACCGGGAAAGCGTCATTAGAAAGAAGTCAAGTGGATTTTCATGTACTTAAGGGTATAACATGTCATGGTATCATATTTAGTAGTGAGCAGGGCGAATATTTAGTCGTATGATATGTTGATTCAAACTATATTGGTGATATGAATGATAGAATGTCTATATCGGTCATGTCGACAACTGAAGTAGTATACATGACAACAATTGAAGTTGTCAAAGAAACTTTATGACTTACAAGATTGGTGAGAGAATTGGGTGTTGAACAAGGTGAATTTCGGTTACATTGAGATAGTAAGAGTGTCATTTATTTGGTAAGTAATCAAGTGTATCATTACATAACCAAACATATTGATGTGAGATTTTCCAAGATCATGGAGTTACTTGCATATGCACATATATTACTCGAAGATGTTCATACTTTAAAAAATGCATCTTATATGTTGACCAAACCAGTCATCACTAACAAGTTCAAACATTTCTTAAACTTGTAACATATTTCTCAGTGTTGAGCAGAATATGTACCCCTCCAGTTGTCTGGATATGCTCGTTATGTATTATATGAATTTGATATTCGCCAATAGATTATTAAATATGATTGTATATACATAGACATAGACACTGAAGACAAATTGAGGCGGTTCAGGGCTATTAATGCAAACTGAATCGTATATATATATATATATATATATATATATATATATATATATATATATATATATATATATATTATTTGTAACAATGTAATCCTAATTTATCACAGAAAAATAATGAAATTATAATTGCTCTATAATTGAAGAGATAAAAATTATTGATCAAACTGTGTTAACAAAGATTAATCGTTTTTATTATCTTTTACTTCTCTTTCGTTAATCTACTACACTGGTTGTTGTTCTAATAGTTTGATGTTTTGTCACCGGAAAGTTAAGGTTTGAATTTTAGAAACAATTTCTTCATTTGCAAGGGTAAGATTTTATAGCAGTGCACTTTAAATTAAAAGTATGTCTGAGTGTCTAGTACTTGTTGATATTTTACACTTACATATCTTTACACCGCTGTTATCATTTCCACATTTTAGAATTATGATCGAATGTCAGTGTTGATTTTTTGTCTGTGTTTGTACGGATGCTTCAAAGGACAAGACTAAAGGAAGCATGGCTTAAAGTCAGTCCTTATGGACACACTCCATGGTTTCCAATATATTTTATTCTCATTTCAGTTATGCTTACTATGAATAGTTTACAGTTTGACATATCAACCTACATGTCCAAAGCAGTACAGCAATTTCAGCATTCAGTTGTGTAATTGTCTGAAGGAAATTTACTCCTGTTGTTTGCTTTTGTAACTTCAGATCCTTAATAAGGTTATCTTAGATTGGATTTACTTTCTGGTTTATATTCATGAACTCATTGTGTTTTGGTTCCCTTTCAATTTGTAATTTTGGTAAGACACATTTTCAGTCCTTTATGAAACTGCTTAGACTGTATCTACCACATTCAAAAGTTACAGAAACACTTACAAAACTAAACCACAGAAAAATGGTAATTAATCATGCTGTTTTGGCCAATCACTTGGGATACAAAACTAGGAGATAGATTTCCCCACTCTACATAAAGTAGTTGAATTTCACAGAATTTACATTAATAAAAAAGCTTCTGAAATCATTACTTTTCCTACATGCCAAAAGCAGCATATACCTAACATGCTAAAAAATTAATCAAGTTGCCTCTTTTTTGGCCATCGATCAAGCTCGCTAGGCTCGTTCGAGATCCAAAAGAAAGAAAAGAAAGGTTAAAAGAAGAGCACTAGTAGAGATTGATGAGTAAACTGCTTTGTTTGAGGAGGAGGATGGAGCTGAAGGTATTGCTGTTGTACTATTACTTGCCAAAGTCAGATTATTTCTGCACAAACACAATCGAGAAAAAAAAAAACTCAAATGCCATCATGCTTAAAGTCTTAATAATGATGATTAATGTATAATATAACAATGTAAGCATATTTAAAATGAAACCAACATGGCAAAATTTCAAGAACTGAACATACCCAGTTCTCATGTAAATGCAACTGTCATAAGCTGCAAAATCGAAAACAAATCAGTTGTTCAGTATGCAATATAAGCCGAGAAGATCTAAACAGAAAAAAGATAACGAAAGTTAGTGATAGGAGATGAACATACTTGGATCTTTATCAACTATTACACCAGTCCCTCCAAAACTACACGCAACATCAGAAGCACCGTTTTGCTGATAATAGCTGTTAAAAGCATATGAAGCATGCGAGACTAAGTTATCCGGCTGAAAACAAGGCTGACTTGGTTGAATAGGAGTACAGTCCACGTTGCCTGAAGTACCACAAGCCCAATTTATCGCATTCTGTAAATCAATTTGTGTCGCTTTACTTGAAGCAATGCACCATTTTGTTCCGTTTGATTTTGTTACGTTGGCATCCGCAGTCATGTCAACAGGACTTTGTCCGGTGAAATCTAGGCTATATACGCTTGTTTGGTCGGGATAAAATAGCCCCCAGTTTCTCTCAGATTCCAAACCCGGCTTCCTATTTTCGTTAAACAATGAAAAAATGTAGATGTCGAGTTCTTCTCCGGGTTTTGCAGGTGTACCGGTTTCGTTGATAACATGTCTTATCAGATTCATATTATATGTTTGTGCATTATCAGGAGTAGCAGCTGTCTCCTTAGGCGAACCTTTTGAAGGCCAACCTGTTTCGGTTACCATGACTTTAATTGTTCTGAAATTCAACGCCGACAAAGCAAAATAAATAGCATCAATCTGAGCATCAAACATGTTTGTATAGAGCAAACCAGTGTTTTGATCAATAATTTCGGAGGATGACTCGAACAATGCATAGTCCAATTGCACTTTGTTCGGGGAGTCACAGTATGCATAATAAGGATACAGATCGATCATAAAAGGCGACTGATTTTCCGCAAGAAATTCTAGCAGTGGCTTCAGGAAATGAGCATGTTTGCTATCGAAAGCACCAGCGGAAGGAGGGAACGATCGAGACAACACCCCGAGGGAATGAGTAGTTGAAACTTTTATCTTCTTATGAAGTCCAGCTTTCTTAAGTGCTGCAAGGACATTAGTCATGGCTGGCACAACCAACGCAGAAATGTTTTCTGGACTTTCCGTGATTTCAGCGCCGACGGTTATGTATGTGATCTTAGTGGCTGGATAGTAAGGAAGGATGCTGTTTCTGAGCCAAGTGTCTGCATTGGTTTGGAACTGTGAGAATGGAAGCAAATCAAGATTTGGAATTCCAATCATAAGTTCGACACCAGTGTTTGCGAAAGATTTCAGAACTTGGATGTTAGAATCATAGATTCTAACATATTTGATTTTGTGATCTTGAACTAAATGTGACACCTTGTCAGGTGGAGGTAGGTCATCAGCATTTCTTCCATAGCATATTCCAACAAAACTTCCGTGACAAGAACCTGACAAAATTTCACAAAGAATGATCAAATAAAATCACAGGTTCAAGTTTTTGGATGGAACTAATGTGGTTAACCAGGTTCTTCAACCAAAAACATGGTTACCATAAAACATTTTAACCAATGTAACAAACTTCATTGCAAAATCACCATCTAATTTCTAAATTGTGAGGTAATCTTCATGAAACACTGACACAGACACAAACATCAAACCCGACACCAACCTTAATATGAAGACACAAGTACAGACACAAACATCAAACACGACACCAACTTTGATATGTAGATACAAACAATATCTTGAAGTAAAAAAGTAAAATGATTGAAGGGAATGCATGTGCGAGTATCGCACATATAAAGTGTCGATGCTATGATGGTTAGAAAAGTTAGATCCACATGAAAAGAAATTGATTATGCAATAATGACATACTCTTGTACACTAATTAAGAAAAGTTAAAGCGTAACCTATTTTTTTAGTATTTCATTTCTCATCCTTTCTAAGAAAAGGACATGAGCTTCAAATCACAAACAACTTCAAAGTAAACTAATATCATACAAAAGTACTTAGACACTGTCTACATTACAAAAACACACAACATAAAAACCATAACATAGAGAAATCATAAACATAAACATAAACATGAACATGCGATGAGATAGAATGAAGAGAAAGAGGAACAAACCAATAAGCACAAGCAAAACTGAGGAAACAACTAAGATGAACCAAAACCCTCTTGCCATTGTTCTCTATACTCTGAAGAGAGTGAAGCTGCTTCTTCTTCTTGCTTGGTTGCTTGTTTTAGGAACAGAAAAATCAAGTAACGGTACTTTTTTGTTTCCCTATGTAGTCTCTCTAGAATAGAGTGCACAATTTATTTATTTATTAAATTAAATTAGATTAAATCATTTTAATAAGAATCACAAACATGACATATATTTTTTAACTTATTTAAATTAAGTACATTTTTCTTACTGAGATTAAAATATTCTGTGAACAAGAAATGATTTGCATGGGTCCCCACCCTCTATTACAGATAGAGAAATTGAATGAATAAATACATAGAAGTTAATACTATTTTACCCTTATAATGTAAACGATTTTGAAACGAAAAACTACGATATTTAGTCCTAAATAGAATAACTCTAGACTTTGTGAGTGTGTTTAATCTTTAAAAAGTACTACTATACAGTAGTAGTAACACAGTGGTGGATTTCAAATATATTTATCAAATTTAGTTTTCTATGTTTTTCTCGATTCCGATGACTAGCAAGCATGTTTGTTTTTCTTCTGCCTGTCTCCCACTACCGTACTACTCCCTTATCAATGAATTTAATGCCACTCCAGTCCAGTCTACTCTTCTTTTTTTGTATATAAAATATATGTAATTTTATTCTCAATCTTAATCTTAATCTTATACCACCATTTTTTATTATTAATTTGATTTTTATTATTTTTTACATTTAATATTTAATTATATCTCAACAACCATCTATTATACCATATTTATTACAAAGAAAATATATTTAAATAGTAAATTATTCACCTATATCCCTTATCAATAATTCTTATTTAATTTATATTGATTTTTTTTTTTTATAGTTCAATAACCCTTATCATATTAGATATGAAAATTGAGTGTTGTTATTTTACATTTATGATGTGCAATGTTATAATATGTAATGTTATATAAACATGCAGACAAAACATCATTTCAATATCTCTTAACAATGTTTGAATATGCTTTAAAGTGTATAAGGAAAATAGGGGTGGTTGAAACATATCAAATTATCAAAAGACCATATTTGTTCAACATATTGCTTTCAAACTGTATTAAGCACTATGAAAACAAGCATGAATTTGGAAAATTGTCGACTCCTATTCTATTACAAAATATTCATAAGTTTGGCTTATATTGTAATATATGTTATTAGATTGTTGTCTGGTCTTGTAAATGAAAGGGAGATCCATAAAAATGGGACAACTACTAAGTTGAATGTCATTGAATTGGAGGTTGATTGATACATTTTAAAATAGTTATTTTTTTAAAATTTTACTCAACCATTTGCTTTAACAATTCATACATTAACTACTTTTGTTTGTAACATATTTCAGACACAAGATTCATTGCATTCTATTTGACAACTATGTTGATGAACTCAACAGTTTCATCTCAACGGATGAAGTCCATAATGTTGTTGTAGTTGTTCAACTAGCAAAGGCAAAAAAAATTCAAGGTTAAATGCATTTAAACTATATATTGATGTTTGTTTTTGGGTTTTATATTTTCTCCTAGCGATGGTATTTTCTATACTTATCAAGTTGAACTTAAACATTTGGAATTTGTAGACAAAATACATATACAAAATTATATGAATTACACGCGTATTGTCTTCAACCCACTCTGTGAGGAAGGCACTACCTTGAAGAATAGGTATATCTTTATGCTCATTAATCATTAATGATGTGTATAATCATAATATTTTATCCAGCGTTTGTAAACAAATGGTGTAATATTTTTTTATTAATTTTCAATGACAATTTTGACAGTCTTGACTCACTATCCTCAATGACTCTTACGCAACTCACTTCTGAACCTAAAGTATCTCTTGTGCGTAAATTTATGTACAATACTCCTAGGTCAACTATTCAAGGCCTTAAAGATGTTGCAATAGTAAGATATTCTAACACACACTTTTACTCTTAACAACATCTATTAAGCATCAATGTACTTGATAAGTTTTTTGTATTTTGTAGGATTTTATTTATGGTGTCCTTGGTACTATAAAGAAGATTTTAAAGCCAGATTCATTTTATTACATAGTTTGTCATTGCTCAAAGACTGTTATACTTGATTCAAATATGTGGTTTTGCAAAAAATGTGATAAGCATACAAAGGTCTACAATAGATAAACTTAAAATTGAATATGAATATGTTATACAATTTGATGCTTGCATTTCAGTAAAAATATTTAATATACACTTCACATTAGGTTCCTCATCAAAGTTCGTGTCATTGACCAAACTAATTGTGCAACATTGGTCATTTTTGATAGAGACACTTGCATCCTACTCCAAAGAATTTTGTGCATAAATGATGAGTGGAGTATCTAGGGTATTATATATAATTTAAAACATATTTTATGTTTATTCTTTAATGTTTGTTATTATATTTACTTTTTTAAATTCATTTTCGTAATACTTTGACTTCTTTATTAGGGATTGCTTCCACAAGAAATAAAAGGTTTGATAGATCAAACACTTTTGTTTATGGTTGAAACAAAGGTTGTATTTAATACCAAATTTGAGCATTTTTGTATGAGAAAGATCTGTTCAGAACCTGATGTGATTACTGAGTTTAAAAAAAAAGGGACAGTGAGAATGCTTTATTCATTAAAAACATATAAATGTATGAATCACTTTTGAGTTATATTCTTATAATACGGGGTAAAAAACCTCAATGGCTAATTTATTTCTTACTTATTTTATGAAGATGCTTCCTTGAGTACTCTTAATGGAAGAGGTAAGTGTTTCATTGAATATTATGGCGGAGAAGGAAAAATTGGACAGTCTTCGAGTTCTCAGGTTAATACTCAATACTTTTAATTATAAGTTTTAACTTAAATAATGTTCAAGCATATTCAATCATGTTTTCCACTGTCCAATTATTAGATATCATCTTGGTTACATTTAAATGAGAGATTTTATCTCTCTCTTCATCACACCCATCTGTCAAAACAAAAATAAAGGATCAGAATTGTGTTGTTATTAAAGAGGTGGACTATACATCATAGTTTCTTTATTATTATTTACTATTATAACAGTTGGACCTCAAAACTCAATAATATTCGATATATTGTAGGATTTAATGCCCAAGTTTTTTGATGTTATTGATTATTCAGTTGTGAAGAATTGTGTGAAGTCTACATTGTTTAGTTATGTCAAGAGGGTGTCCCCTACTAATCAAGATGTTAATGATCTCAATGCCCCTTTGAGGTTGTGTAGGAGGACTGTTAAGACTGGAAAAAAACTAGGGATTTCATGGGTCTTCAGCTTATGTATTTATGATGTGTTATTCTATATTTATTCATAGTTTTGAAACTGTTCTGTAATATTGACATCACATATATGGAAAACAATTATTTTGAGATTCACTTTATTGTATATCATGTACTGTTATAAATTGTAATCATTTTGACTTAAACAAATATGAATTTATTTTGTCTATTGAAAGTCTTTTCCATGCAAGTTAAATGTATTGTTATTAACAACCAATTGATACTAATGTTGTATTTTTAGGCAATTATTATCTTTGTTTATGCAACAATATTTTATTAGCATAATATGTACTGTTATGTAACGTGATGTTATTTATACTTTTATAACATTTTAATCTAACATTAGCATGTAAATTATGCATCTTAACTAATGAAGTATAATAATTCCATTTATTTAATATTGATCGATTAATAACTTATCAATGTCAATAGTTTAGTTGATGTGTGATTATATGCAGGCATACATGTCTTATATGGACAATGAGTTTTTCACAACTATTGAATTAATCTAATTCTAATATAAAATATTTGTTACCGAAGGAAATAAAATATAAACTACATTAAAATGTGTTTAACTCAGTTTTCTTGATAAAGTTTCTATTGAAATTACAAAAATGTACTACTATCAATATTGTAATAACAACATGTAATGGATAACATTAAATACATATGGGTGAATGGATATAACTACAATAATTGACATTCACTGTATTATTCAACTTATATAAATTTAAATATGATAATTATGTTGGTCATATTATTGACTTATTTACATTGAAAATAAAATATATATTACATCCATGAAAAGCTCCATATTGTCTTATAGGAAACAATAACATCATTCAAATAAGTTTTTTATATTTTAAGATATTTTTATGTGATTGATATATTTGTATACCATATTGGGTATCTTATATGTTTTATTAGACTAACTATTTCATTTTCTGACTCATTGTAACAGATAAAAGGCAGTAGAATGTAATACTATATTGATGAAACTATAAAATGATGTTTGTATATTTTATTCAGTAAATACTACACTTCACATTTAATCTGAATTCTTTACTTTTATGTTGGTATAGTACATAACTCACCTCTTTCTTAAACCTTCGTATTGGAGTCTCATGACTGAAATATTGAATCCTCATTGGGATGTGATTTTTAATATTGGGATAAGCTTCATAACACAGTACTCACACAATACTCGTATGTCTCAAAACCACCTATACCTCTGTCTCAAAACCACCAGCACAATACCTGTCGTTTTCAAGATAAGAGGTTACATATATAGCAATGACAAAATTTGGAAAAGGATATTTGCTTTTTTACACTATAATCATGTCTTTTTCAATGTAAGAGGTTACATATACAACAATGGCAAAATTTGGAAAAGGGTATTTGCTTTCTTACACTATCTTATTCATATATATTCATCATCCATATCTATGTAATTGTTGCTTTCATCGATATTGCATTAATCTCTATGCATCATTGAAAATCACCTTTTTGAATAATTATTCTTTAAAATTGAAATTAACTTTAGTGAAATAGAGTTAGTATACATTGCTAATTTTGATACTAATTTGAATATATTGTAATACATTTTATAGATGCATACCAATATGGTATACTATTCAGATTTTTACATATGGTTTACTTATTTTTTTATACTTATTTCCATATTG